AAACAGCACAGCCGCAAAAAATTGGGGGGGGGGTTCGCCTGAAAAAGGACACCCCCAAACCAGCTGGTATGACTGTTGGAGGCGGAGGCGGCGGCGGCTTGGCGAGCAACAAGGAGGACCAGAAGTTCGTTGCAGCCATGGCCGCCCGACGTTCCGGCCGGAAGCCGATCCAATTTGGCTGTGGTGACGTCAAAACCGTTTTTTGGTATCCCATTTTGGGGGTGTTCGGTGCACCACCCATTGTTGGAACCTATTAGTGGGGATTGCGATGTTCACCGGGGGTTCGATTTGGCTTTTGACCCATGGCCATTTGGTGGAGCTTGCCATGAATTTCGATAGAGAATCACCTTAAAAGGTGGTTGGTGAACGTGAATCCCCTGGATGATGCTCACCTGAAAGGGCCCCAAGGTTGGTATTTCAGGGGAACCCGCAAGAGGACCTTGAATCCGGAGCAAACAGATTTCTGAGGTACAAGGCAAGGGATAGTCCGAACTCAATATTAAACAGCGGAGGTTACGCAAGTGATTGTTTTTGTTTTTGTCTTTCCATGTATCAAGGTGCTGCGTATTCTTGGGGGTTCCATTTTTGAGCCACAACCATCTTGGCGCGGCCGCCCGTTTATTTCTTTAAGAAGGGTTTGGGCAGACTTGTTAAATACCACCTCGTCATTATTACTGAGGTGGGGGCACTTCCCTTGAGAGTTTGGATCGGACTAGTCGTAGATGCTTGATGAGCTCACGTGCGGAGCTGGATGTGTCTTAAAATGGGTCTTACAATCGTGCTACTTGCTGCGTTTCTTTCAGAACGGGCGGTGGCTCTTTTGCTCTCGCCCCTCGAAGACGGGTGATGTCGATTTTGGTTTGCCCTTCGAAGTTGGTGGTACCGTTTGTTGTATGTTTGTTTGTTTTTTGCATGGGCGACATGAGCTGACACACGCAACCATGTTTTTTTCTCCGAAACAAGCGTTGGACCCGACAAATGTGTTTGACCTGTTGCTCGCTACAGGGTCCTACGCGCACCCCAAAATGAACACAAGAACCTGCAAACCACAAGAACCTGCATGGAAACCTGAAGCCTCCAAGGGTTTTGATGGCAATAATCATTGATCACTCCTGATCATTTCAAGTATCCCTTCATTGGTGGTTTGGGGATTGAACCCCTGGTCTTTGTAGAGGGTGAAGGGAAAAACCCTCCTTTGTAGAGGGTGAAGGGAAAAGCCCTCCTCAACCACCAAACGACTAATCCAACCCAGAAGCTGATCGTTTGCTCCCCCAGCCAGACTTTGACGTAGCCACTCTCAAGCTGCTGAGGTTGGGGACAAGGACGAGGAGCTGCGGGCTGACTTGACCAACATGCTGCAGAAGGCGACCCCCGAAGCTCTGGGTCAGTCGTTTTGGTCGTCGTTTTAATTTGCGTGTCGCTTTGGTGTAGGTGTCCCACCAAGCAAAATGGGTTATCTGCGCAACAACAACGCGCATTGAGGCTCCATTTGCCCGGGCCTCTTCAAGGACAGCTGGGTCCAGTCACAAAATTACCCCAGTAGCAGCTGATTTAGGGGGTCCAACCATGCCAGTTGCAACGAGCGGGTTTCGCCCTTGTTCCGCGAAATCAACCCAGCAAAAAGGGTGCCAAATGTATGTTTTTCCCATGCGCTGGGCTCTGAATTGTTTTTCCCCCCCAAGCAACTACCAATGGTCAAGCGACCCTAAATCCGGTGTTGGGGCCAAACGAATTGGTTCCAGCTAAATTCCACCAGGCTCACAAACCATTGAGGTGTGGGGCATAAGGAAAGCCGAGGGAGCCTACCGAAAAGCAATGACCAGCAAGAAAATTGGTTGAAGGCCTCTTGTAGTTTTCCAGAGGCCTACTGCACCGTCGATCTTAGAGAGGGTTTTCGGGGCCAATCTGTTTCTCTTTTTGCAGGATCTAACTTGGTTATCCCCCAACCCCCAGACCCTTTGGGCTCCCAAGTGTTCCTGCCAAATTTCCGCCGCGCAGATGAACTCGGATTGGAAGAAGGACTTTCAGACGGAGTTCAAGGCGACACAGGAGGACTCGGCGTCAGGGGCGTCGGGGGCGTCGGAGGCGTGATGTTTGGCAGGCCATTTCAAGATGCTGGACATGGCTCACTTGCCCAGAGCCGAGCTTTTAACCTTTTGGTTCCCCTTTTGGTCCGTTTTAGTCATGGCCCCAAAAGGCGAACCCTTCTTTTCTGATCCTTTGGGCAATTGAGGTGGGAGGCCAAACTTTCCTGATGTGTCTATCCATTTGGCGACGAGGTTTCGGGGTTCTCAAAAACTGGCCTCGCTCATGTTCCCACGCGGGAGACAGATGGGTGAGCCTTTTTCTGATGGTACTTGTTTTGGTTGGGGTTTCAAGTAGCACAAACAGAAAACCACCTAATTTTGACGGTCCCCATTGGAGACCCCAGATGATGTTCACCATGGCTCACATCAGGGCGTTCTTAGTATGAACCAGAGGATTGAGCAGAAATGCTCGTTCCATCGGAAGGGCAACATCGGAACTTCCCCGACAAGCTTTGATAATCTTCCAAGTCTCTCCTAGCTTCCACGATTGGAAGGAGGGTACAGGTCAATCAACAAAGCAATCACATTTGAAGTAGGGTACAATAAAACAGAACCGGGAGTTGCTAGCTCACGACGGATCTTGAATCATTGAACCTCGACTCAGCAGGTACATTGTCGTGAAGCGCAGAGGTTGAAGCGTCAGGATCTAGTAGGGAGCAAGGAATAGTTGTGGGGTATGTCAAAGCAACATTCCGTTATGATCATGAGAAGAATAAATATGTTTGTGCAATTCATTGTTTAGCCCATTTAAGGTATAATTTCCGCGCCAAGCTGTACAGATAGTTGCTCCCACTTGTGTACCCTGAACACCCGAGCAATGATGCCTCAGGGTGATACCAAGGGAATCCATCCGCCCAGTAGTTGTTTAAAGCCTGCGTCAGGTGATACTTTGACCTTGTCATACTGGGAATCTGGCCCATGTTCCCGAACCGTGTTGTCCGGGCTGGAGACACTCCGATCTTTCCGGTTTTTTTTGAGGCTTGCCGTTCAGGCCGGAAGTGCCCAAAGGGCGCCTCTTCATGGCCGGGCACAAGCTGCCACGGTGGCCTGGGAGACCTTTTTGGGTCTCCATGATGTTCCGGCAACTGGGTGTGGGTCAAAATTAACCAGAAATTGGACCGCAGGTTTTTAGTCCATATTTCCATTTGCCAGGGTTGCGGTTTGGGGATTCCTATGTTTGACCCACACCCAGCTTTTGCTGAAGAATATGTGGTTTTTGCCTTCTTGGCTTTGAAGAGAATATGTCGCATTTGTGAAGCAAATGGGGCGGCAAGTAGTCATCGCTTGCGGGTCGCTTGCTGGCGCCTGGTGCTTTCCCCAAAGATCCGGAGGCAGGTGCCCAGTGGGTTTCAGCCCCTGAAACCCAGAGGCTTTCCCGAATCGAAATCAATTAACAAGACATGGGGGCGTGATGTTGATGGGCTTTCGAGGGAAACCAAAAAAAAACACCCCCTAAGCAAAATGACGATCCCAGATGACCAAGTCCAATGTGTCAAAATCCAAATCGTACCCCCAGTGAACGTCCCAATCCCCACCAAAATAGGTTCTAAAATGGGTGGTTACCCAAAATGGGATCCCATTGGTTTTGACCCACAGCCAAATAGGTTCCCTTTGTCCATGGCTGAAATTCACTGGGCTTGGCCACTTTGTAGGGAGCCGCTCCTCATTTTATAGACTCCCGATCTCCAATCTTACACTGTGAAATGGCTGTTCCAACCCCACCACCTAAATACGCATGAAATCGTTTTGGCACATAGTCAGCGAGTCTTAACTTGCATCATCAAGTTCGATGTCAGGAGCTCTCCGCCAAGACGAAAGACTTGGAATTTCGGATGCTACTTCGGGGCCCTTCGGGGGGGGGGGGCGGGCTTTGAGCTTCAAGGTAAATGAAGCCCAGGTGTGTTGGAGAGGGTGGAATTGGGCTGGACTTGAGTGTGGAGTTGGGGTGGAGCTTGCCATGTGCACCAAGCCATTTGGGAGCGTATGACCAGACACTAGCCCACTTGATCTTTTTTCACTGGGTGCCTATGGGACTGGGCTCAGTGTCCTTTGTTGGAGGAACCCGCTTTGAGTTGAAACCAATGGGAAAACCGAGATCGAGCTTGGGGGTCTTAAGACGCACCCTGGCAGAACGAGCTAGCCCCAGAAACGACCATCTCGCGGTTCCACAGCTGTTGTCGTGTTCACGCTGACATGCAACACAAGTACCCGCCAAAACACTGTCTCGCAGCTTTAAGATGGGTGTTCCGCGGACGGAGCCCCAATTTGATGGGAAGGCCATACAAGCCGAGTGCTGATTCCAGGCCAGCTAGCTTTCATTGGGTTAGAACGTTTGGAACCATTTCCGGGTGCACCCTCGCGGGTTCGTAACAGTCCTTGAAATGGCTTCCAATCATCAGAAAAGCCCAACAACTCAATGAACAATTCCAAGGTACTTAATGTATTGGCATTTACCTTTATTGTGGGCGCTAAATAGTTCGCCCTTCAGGAATTCATTGTCCCTGACACACGCACAACAACATACGCAGACACATGATTCTCTCAGTTGCTGGTCCGAGGATCAGCTGAACCAGCGCTTGACGAAGGTCGAGAACTCGCGCATGGACCTTCGCATCGGGAAGCCTGCGGGCCCCAGCGACCGAGCACAGGGTTCTTAGACCGGCCACAGATGAACCTTGGACTCACCCGTCAGTTTTAGGTCACTGGCAACCGTGGAAACATGACGATGGAGCTCAACAATGGACCGTTGGGCAAACGCGGAACATCTACCTGCAACTTGTCTTGACTTGTCAGTTGAACAAACCATGTCGTTGTAGTTTCCTTGACCGTTGCCACGCAGGGTGCCATTGAAAGTCGTAAAGCCCATGCGGCCCGAAGCGTGGCGGCAAGCTTGTTGCGCGTCGGAGCTCTTTGGGATCAAGCAGTGAATCACGCAGAGCAATTCGTCGCTCACGTTCTACTTGCTGAGAAAATTATGGAGCGCTTTTGTGCACTCCTATGCCTCTTGCCCGCAGCCGAAAGGCAACCAAAGGCCTCGGCAAAAGCCATTCCCCTGGACAACTGGGATATCTGTTGACATGAGTTTGCATGTTATCTCTCACTCGACATATAACAGAATCAAAGCTCTTGTTCGGGACAGAAGCTGAGGTAGTTAGTACAGTGCCCCAGATAAGGAGAGCCGCAGCAGTTCTGCCTCGGCAAGGGGCTGGCTGGGACATCTGAAACTTTTTGAAGGCCTCCTGAAGGTCGAAACCAACGAAACATGCTAACTGGGCTTCGAGCTCACGGGGTAAAACAAGAAGCCACGAAGGTCCCAAGGGCAAAATGTGTGTTTTTACTGGTGTCCAAACCAATGCCGGTGTTTGAGTTGTTTCTTCCGTGCTCTGGTGCCAGTGAAACATTCAGAGGCTTTGCGAGACCAGACTCAGGCGAGCGCAAAAAATATGGCTCGCACACAATCCAAACAACATGGCAGGATTCTTGCAGAATGTTCTGGACCTGGCTTCTTAGAGTGGTGCAAGGTGCAAGAAACATGCCGTTTGCTTTCTTCCTCATTTTTTTTCCGGGACTCCATATTGTAGGGCATCCTTTTTCGGAGACGAAAAGGACACGGTTCTTTGGTGAAGACGTGGTGGGACACGTCGACGCCCATAGGCCTGGCGGGGAGCCTGGCGCAGTGCCACGAGGGCAGCTGTCGCAACCAGGGCTCCCTGTTCCTGCAGAAGGACAGGTGAAACACGGGTGCCTTCCATTTGCTGAAATGAATATGTTTTAGCTTCCCTTGTTCTAAATGGAGTTTATATCGCTATACTGCATTTTTGTTTAGGGGAGACTTAAGCGAATGGAAATGTGCTCAAACTGCTGGGCCCTCCCTTTGCTGAAGTGGAATCTGGTGGAACGGAAACTGGTACCCATTTTGCTTGAAATAACTTTTTAATTGTTTGGTTCCTTGGTTCTAAGTAGAACTTATCGCTACTGGAACTATGTGTGATTCTTTCCGGGGGACTTGAGCGAAAGTGCGCCAAATGCTGGGCCCCCCCTTCTGCTTGAAAATCAAAAGAAAGCCAAACATGGAAACCAGCCGAATTCGCGGACCACGGCTTTGAGAGACATCTGCACTGTGGGTTTCCTTGGAAAATGCGACAATTCCACGTTGGAAATCGTGGCTGTGGAAAATGTGGGCGTTGGGCTGTGATTCCGCGGGAATCTGTAGTCAAAAGTGTGATCCATTTTGGTATTTTGTTAATGTTGAAACGCATGTGGAAACATGAACTGTGTTGGCAATGCTTGACCACAATGGCTCATGCCATTTTGGCTCAAGCTTTGCCCTGGGTTCTCTGAACCCAACTTGTGTGAAAAATTTGAGGTGAAAACCCTTCCGAAGTAACCCCGAACCAGCAATGGCCTCCTCGGCAACCTCGGCAACTTCCTTCGAGCTGATTGAGGACCAGACGCTCACTGCGGAGGAGGTGGAAATGGCCAGCCAGGCGGCCCAGGACATCCGCACACGCGAGGCGGCAGTGGCGGCCGGCCTGGTGTTGGACGAGCCCGAGGCCCCCCCGTCGGCTTCGGCCACCGACGTGATGAACGACCTCTCCAGTGCACTGGAGCGTCTCCGTGTGGCTTTCTCCACACCGACTTCCGGCTTGGGTGCCCCTGGCCCCGCCGATGAGGAGGACCAGGACATGGACGATGCGGACGCCACGGAGAAGGCTACTCCACCAACGAAGAGGCTGAAGGGTTTCGTGGCGGCTTCCCAGAAGACCTCGGCTCCGGTGAACAAACCGGTCTCCCTTGTGCCGGTGGAGGGCCGTCCTGGCTACTTCAAGTTAGTGGACCTCCCCGACCTCTTCCCGGTCCTTCCGGCATCGGCGGCCACGTTGCTGAGGGACGTCACGGTGGAGGAGGCGGTCTCCCTGTTCCACAAGTTTGTCGGGAAGAACCTCACGGAGGACTTGGTGATTCGCATCCTGGAGGCCTATGTTCCGATGAAGATCCAGATCCGGCAGGAGGAGGTCTGGGCCTCACAGTTCCAAGGCGTGATTGGCACCCAGCGGATGCACAGACTCGATGCCGGCCACTCAGACTACAAATTCATGTGCAAGGCATGCGGCACGGGGTGGCCGGAGGCAGCCAATCAATGCTGGGTCTGCCCGGGCAAGGAGTTTGTCCCCTTCCAGGCACCCTCGGCTACCTACGAGGCGGACGGCGTCACTTACAACCTGCTCATTGTGGAGGGCAAGCCGACCTGGATCCAGCAGCGGGATGGGGGAAGCCTGGGTGCCACTGGCCCCGGTGGTACCCGGGCACAGGCAGACCGCAACCTGGTGGACGGCACGGTCCTGGGAAGAGCTCCTCCGAAAACGGACACGGCAGAGGAGATCACCATGGCAGACGTGGTCCCGCTTAACAGGCGGGTGGACATCCGGCAGGAGATCCTGTCCATGGAGGCGGACGACGAGGCGTTGAAGGTCCGGGAGCGCCAGGAGGTCAAGGTCAAAGTGCAGCGGTCCCTGCAGGAGGCAGAGGCCCAGAGCTTCCAGCTCTACCACCCCCAGGTGGACCATCCGGAAGAAGGAGGAGCTGCATAAGGCCTTGAGGGAGCACCGGGAGCCGAATGCGGAGGAGTCCTCGGCCAGAAGGAGCTGGTCACGGATGAGATGCTGGACAATGAGATGGCTATCCTGGCGCCTCTCCAGGAGGGCATGCAGGCCCTGCCGTCAGAGGAGGTGGCCAATGAGGGAGCCCGGGCCCTCAGGAAGGTCAACAACCTGGAGCGATTCAAGGCCAAGCTGAGAGACCAGCACCTGGAGGGGAAGGGCGTTGACGCCAGCCAGGCACTGGCTGAGGCGATGGGCTCCATCCAGGAGGCGCAGGAGGCGAACAAGCGCACCAGGACACCAACCAGGCATGGATGCTCAACCACACCCTCAAGCCCTTGGAAGTGTCGGCATGGCCGGATGATCTCAGGAAGGCTCTGGAGAGGGGGCTGTTCTGCCCCCTGGAGCTGGATGACCCCGATCCCCAACGTGGGAGACATCAAGGAGAAGTATGTCCCCTACATCCGGAGGCTCAGAGAGGCGCAGAACCCTTGGAACCAGGAGGCGCTGTGCTGGAGGAGATGCCGGCCCCCCCCAAGGGTGCCACTGGCCCTGGGGGGACCAGTCAATGCCACCGCAGGACCTGGACTCGGAGGAGGGCAAGTTGTCCCTGCTCCTCTGGGCGATGAAGAGGCACCAGGGGGAGCTGCGGATGTTTGGGGGGATCTGGAAGAAGCACTCAAGCGGTGAGATCCCCAAGGGCGCGGACCAGCAATTCAAGCTCACGCCGGAGGAGCTCCTGGCCCTGGAGCGCAGGACGCACCCGCTCACGTGTGAGCGGGACCACATCGACCCAATCATCTACTCGGCCTTGGAGATCCGAGCGCAGGTGAACCGGGGCGAGCGCCCGGCGCCGGAGCAGGTGGTGGGGATCTTCTGGGCGAAGGGCGATGGAGTGTTTTGGACGAGGCAGACGAGAACGTGGGACCTGCCGAGCTTGACGGGGGTGTACGCCCACAGATTCATCTTCAAGTACATCTACTCGGCCTGGACCACATTCCCGCTGGTCGTGAAGACACAGCGACGGGGCCGCAATGCGGAGGGCTCGGCCTCGGATAAGTGGATGGGCAACATCCTCCAGATGAGGAAGGAGGCGGTCCCCTTCCTGGAGAGCCTGGGGATCCCCAAGCCGAGCAACAAGGCGGAATGGAGCTACATCTTCAAGGAGATGGGGACGTTTCTGGCGGCCAAGAATTTCATTGTTAACTGCCCATTGCCGGTGATGGAGATCCCGGTTGCCCCCGTCCACGACAGCAAGGAGGCGCTGCGCTTCAGGGCGGTCTGTGACGAGCGAATCACCCTTCCGCTGTCATCGTTGAGGGCTTTCGACTCGGTGTACACCAAACTGGTGTCGGGCCTGAGTAAGTCCTCCATGGTGGAGGTCAAGGTCAACTGGCGTTGCAACGTGGTCCATGACTGGGTGGAGCAGGTCCCGCAGGAGGCGGCGGGGGCCCTGTACGACCGGCTGGGCTACTCCCAGGACATGATCAGGCAGATGGGTTGCTCCCCCCCCTTTGGGTGCCTCTGGCCCCGGGGGCGGAGCGGCTAAGGAATCGGACCCCAAGGCCAAGATTCTGGGGGGAGCGGACACCACGCTCCGCACGCCGGACCAGGGTACCAGGCAGTACCCTCCGATCACCGCGTCCACGGTCACGGCGGTCGCGGGCCGGAAGTACATCAACAAGCACTTCCCGAAGGAGACGAAGCACGTGTTTTGGGCCTCCGTGGAGTGCGGCCTGGTCCTGCCCAGCATCAGCGCATGGGAAGTGGTGGGCAAGGAGAAGTTCAAGACCACCGGGGGCTACATGTGCAGGTTCTGCAAGGGCTTCTGGAGGGCGAGCCGCGGGGGGACCAGGCTGCTCCAGATCACGGGGTGGCACAAGGACAAGGCCACATGCCTGCAGCTGGTGATGGACGAGCCCCCGGAGCAGCTATATAACCAGTGGATCCGGGACAGGATGGAGTTCTACAAGCGGGTGGAGCCGACGGAGCCACCCAGGGACGAGCGGCTAGTCCTTGGAGATGCGAGCACCCCGCGTATGCGATTCAGCTCCTCGAATGGCCTGGGGGATGTCTCCACTGCCTTGTGGTCGGTCATCTTGAGCAACCCGGAGAAGTCGGGGCTGGCGGCCATCCACTCGGTGGCAAAGGAGGCGATCTTGAAGGGTGAGAGCCGCTAGGTAGGGTCTCACAACCCTTTTGGATGGGGAGTCGTGTGATCTCTTCCCACCGGGATTTGGGTGCCTCGGGCCCCGTCTCGGGTGGGGGGAAGAGTAGGGTTCTCCTTTTGGTTTCATCTTTCACCTTGGTTTACCCCCTGTTCAACACGCCACGACTGCCGGTTTGCCTCGATCGGGAGGCTGCACGCTTTGGCTGCCCCAAGGACGGGCCATACCGGACACAGTTTGGAGAAAGTGGCTGCGGCTGACCCTGGGTTCCCTGAGGTCCCCCTTGGGGGTTTTGGGGTTGGTCTTCCCCCCCCTCCGTGGGTTTTAGGGATTTCCGGGGGGTGGACTCTTGGGTCCTGTTGGGCTGCAGGCTGCCTGCCTGCCCCATTTGCACTCGGCATCCAGCGGGGTGGGAACATGCATGCAGTGTGCCGTGGTTGGGTCCCGGCCGTTCGATTGGAGGCTCGAACCCCTGTTTTCATCATGGCTAGGGTTTCTACAAGGTTTCTTTTGCGCCCGCCTTTGGGACCGCATTCCAAGGGTCCTGTGGGACACGTTGGCGGATGAGTCCTGATGTGCCTGCGCCACGGCACGGCAGAGGAAGGGAGGCAGCTGGGCGGGGAGCCGGCCATCCGCTTCGCTCAGCTCCTGGAACTTTCGGGCATTCCGGGCCAGGCTGACCAAGTGGTACCAACGGACTACTTCAACGGCCTGGTGGCGTCGGCGGCGGGCAGGCTTCCCCAGCCTTTGTCCGCGGCGGACCTGGCCGACCTTTGGGACAGCCTATGGTTCCTCCTCATGGCGGCTGCGGACGGCAAGCTGAGCGAGAACTTTTCCCGCTGGAGAATGAATGGGACCGCCAGGACCAACTGAGGTGGTTTTCGCGAGATGACCCACCCCCACTCCAACAGCCGGAGCTTCTGAAGTGGAGGCACTGGAGGCCCGGGAAGATCAGGG